ACCACAATTTTTAAATGATTTTCTAAAACTTTATCCCCTCTCCTAACTCCATAATTGAGTGTTTCAATGAAATTACCAACCCTCCAGATGAATAACAACCAACAGTAGGGTGATACTTGGAATCATCACGATGCCCACGAAGAGGTAAACCTAGACGTCCACAAAAAATGACAGAATCAATAATTGGAGATAGTATTTCCCTATTCTGTTCTATTTCTTTCTTGATACCAGCATCCATGATCATCTCGATAGGCTGCAGAGTACCTGATATTTGGGAACGCAAAGCATCAAAATTGGTGATGTGGATGCATGCAAACCGACTTCCCTCCTTTACTTTTTCCAGCATGTTGAGTGAAAGAGCATTTAGCATTCTTCCAATCTTGAAGAGGTTCAGTAAACAACTTTTTTACTTTACTGGCCTTGCCTGGGAATCTATTGCCAAACAACACACACGATAGACAATACGCACCATTTTGTGAAGGTGAATAGCAAAGCCATTCATGCTGGTCTAGCCAATCATGCCTAAATGATCTGCCATTAGATTTAGGAAAATGATACTTTTTATCTGGTTTATATACATTTTTTATCAAATGACATATTTCAGAATTATCCATACCCTTAACTTTCTCCCTATACAAGGAAACATCAAAATTATGGGTTAAAACAGCAGGTTGCATATCACCAGAAGTTGGAATACCAGGCAATAGTTCCTGGGATGATGTGTGAAGCAAAAGACTATTGGCTTTATTTAATGTCTGAGCAAGAGCTGCAGCAGAAGAAAAACTCTCATTGGGCATCCTTTTAAAAGTTGGTTGGGCAGCAGGCCTATTAGTTGAAGTAAAAAAATTTGAAATGTCAACTGTTTTGGTGCATATTTGGAAAATTTTGACAAATTTTCGTTTCTCTGTTGTTGAGCTGCTAGAATTAGACTGTGTACAGGAATTAGACAATTTTCGCTTCAACCTGTGGGCATGGAAAATGAGAGGCACAAAATGATTAGACTGAAAAGTCTCACCTGGTTGTACAGATCCTTCATGACAAAACAAAATATTAATAGCATCCAAACCTCTTTGGCTTAATAACCGGGCTGAACAATACGATTAAATAACAATTTATATCTACTTTCACCAGAATCAGGATAAAAAGTATGAATTTTTCTACCTAAAACAGAAGATAGGCCCAAAATACAAAGAAAAGATGACCATTTCTGGTCATTACAATTTAAAATAGCCTCCTGTTTTACCAGTTCATCTGTTGTATATCCAGTGTCTAAACATTCTTTAGACACTGACAAAGGCAAAAGATTGTTTAAGCTTTGGGCAAAGTAATCACTGTGCTCACTTATAACAGACAAAAAGCATGGGTGTTGAGCATAAAAAGCAGCATGAATAAATAGCTCAAGCGATGTTAAAATTCGCAAAGTAGGGACCAATGCATTGTTACCTACCAGAACTAGGGAAGCTGAACTGTAGAGGCAATTGCCAGAAGCTTCAGATCTTAAAAAATATTCAAGAAAAGAAATTAATATTTTGTTTGGTAGATTGATTGCATTGTATGAATGAATTGCTGACTGTAGACAAAGATATAGCCTAGCGAAATTGAGATTTAACCATTTTACACGTATATATAAATACTACAATACGATATATATAATTATAATATATTTACCTTATTGCAGTACAAGTCTTTCCGTCATGAGCGTGCTTTGGCACATATATTTCAGCTCCAAAATTTCGACACAGAGTATGGTCGGGGTCATAAATTCTATCTAACAGCTGCTCGTTAGTAAACATAGGTCGAACGTCGACCAATAAACGAGAATAAAGCTCATTAAGGCATTTTAAATCGTTTTGGCCAACGCAGACTGAGCAGTCTCGTATAAATTACCACAACACAATGAAGACATTATAAAATATCACAAAACCGTAAACTGAGCACAGAGGCTGTTCAGAAACAATACGAGTGTATGTTAATTTTCAATTGCCTAATTTGCCTAGCTCAACTATGCTTATCAACAGCAATGATTGGTTGGAATTGCTCGTTAGGCAAAAAAATTGACCAATGAAAGCATACGGTTGCAAAAATTGCCCAATCAGAATACCTATACACGATGTCAAGTTAGGCAAATTCATCTTGTTTAGGCAAATTGCTAACAACCAATCAAATGGCTAGATCGCCTTCTTAACTTAGGCAAAATGGCTGCTTTGCCTAACGACACGGAGCTTTATAGATAATCATACGCATCTGGACTACGATTCATATCAAAATTACGTCATTTAATTGCACAACATTTCTAAACAAAAGTCAGATGATTTGACTGCGATAAAGTGCTATTCATAGTTTCATAATTCGATAAATTCGTATCGAATCTAAGTCGAAGTATATTTTGGTAATTTCACCATAGGCACTTGCCTATGGTGCCTACCCCTAGATCCGCCCCTGTCATGAAATGTACAGAAATGTTAAAACTATCAAGCATTCTATTAAGATTATTTCAAAGTGCACAACTCCATACAGAAGTCATGTAAATTTATACTAATATAAAACTTGTCCTCGCATGCCCTTCAAAAATCGGATCATAAAAATGGGTGTTTTTAAGAAAAAGCAAACACTCAAGAAACATTATATGTTTGTAAATGTAGATCGTCCAGGTTGGTAAAGTCCTGAGAAGGACTGTTTTTGTTGTTGTTGACTGACGTTTCGACAACCTTAGCGGTAGTCATCTTCAGAGTCAAATGAGGAGTAAACGTCAGGTTAGCCGTATTTGTTATCTGGTTCTTACGTCCTTGTATTGTGTATACAGGAAATGTGTATTGTCAATGTGAATTAGTGTGAAGTGAAATATTTTATTTTTAGTTGTGCTGTGTGATTTAGGTGTGATGTTTTTAATTGTAATGTGTGGGTGTCAATTATGTATTGTCATTGTGATCTATAGAGGAACGGGCGCTCACGACTTACAAACATGCACTGCCTTTTTGGTTTCGCTACGTAGATGACACAATCATAGCACTACATGCAGACGAGATTGAATACAACCCTACATCACACAAAGCCACCACAATCAGAACATTAACAAGACGTGTACAAATCATATGTGATTCACCGGACGCTCTACACAACGAAAACAACTATCTCAAACGTGTTTCTGACAAAAACAACTATAACTCTGACTATATCAAACGCAACACTTACAAACCCAACGAACCCAACGAAACGAACAACTCAGTGACAACAGCAACGATACCTTACATCAAAGGTACGTCTGCGACTATCTTGAGTATCTTACGACCATACAACATACGTGTCGCACATAAACCAATCACAACGTTACGACAAGTACTAACGAACATAAAGGACAAAGAACAACCCAACGAACGAAAAGGCAGTTTACAAAATAAACTGCCGACTGCCACGCCTATATCGGGAAACTTGCAGGAACTTAAACATAAGACTTACTGAACACAAACGAGCTACTAAGAAACAAGACAAAAATAATCACATTGCCGAACATCACCGAATCACAAAGCACAACATTGACTGGGACTCGGCAAAATGCATTACTTAGAGTACTGACAATAGACAACGGCTTACATTAGAAAGTTGATATACCAACTTCGAACAAACCCCCCTGAACAGATCACAGCAATTACCGGCACCTTACAAACGACTTATTCACAATACAAACAAACGATCAACTAAAAACATTACACTTCACACTAATTCACAATGACAATACATAATTGACACCCACACATTACAATTAAAAACATCACACCTAAATCACACATCACAACTAAAAATAAAATATTTCACTTCACACTAATTCACAATGCCAATACACATTTCCTGTACACACAATACAAGGACGTAAGAACCAGATAGCAAATACGGCTAACCTGACGTTTACTCCTCATTTGACTCTGAAGATGACTACCGCTAAGGTTGTCGAAACGTCAGTCAACAACAACAAAAACAATCCTTCTCAGGACTATACCAACCTGTACGATCTACATTTACAAACATGCAACGATACTCCCGGGTTCAAACCATTTACTTTAATACAACAAACATGTTAGCCGTTATTGAATTAATACAAAAAAAAGTTTATTGCATGCAAATACATCAATGATAAACAACAATTTACACAAGAAGAGAAACAAGAAGAGATAAACAAGAGAGGTATACTCAATCCTCCTTCACGTTCTTATATGCTTGTATTTCAAACCTCATGTATATAATTTATCTCAAATAATCTGAAGATGTCTTAAGTTAAAGACGAAACGTTATTAATAAATCTTTCTTTATTTTACTATTGTGATGGCTTTTTAAAAGTCTTATGTTGGGCTATTATGTTCATATTGTAAACATAGTTTACTGCTTTAATAACGTCGATAAAGACATCATCAACACACAATCCATACGTTGCGCTAAGTTCTTCTACGTGTAAGTTTTGAGAGATCGCAAAGACGATAATAATTCCTCGTAAATCGACACCAAAGTTTCTACATCTTTGCTAGATAAAGCGCTGCTAACAAGATGTTGAAACAACGCCATCCTTAAATAAGGTCTAGATCTAGCAACAAAAAATTCGACTGATCAACGTACAAGTGCATGCAAGTGCATGAGAATTTTTTGTTCTGCTGGATTTCCACATAAAACCGCGCCGAATTTTGGTAAAAACGAAGGCTCGATAACATGCAGAATGACGTATTTCATGATTTTGACCGATAAGATGTTGAGTTTAAGCTTACCCATGCCTTCAACTTAGTCAAAACTTGCAGGCAACGACGTAGTTAATTAAAGATTCATCATTCATATTATATATAGAATATTGTAGCTTCGGCTTTCGGCTTAAAGTAATACTTCATGTAATTTACTTATAGAAATATCAATATATCGGAGACAAGCAATTTATGCGATAAATATAACACACTTCGAACTTGTTAGATTTCTCTAACAAATTGCGATTTATTATGGGTCATTGATAAAGAATATTTAATTTAGAAGTTGCAGGTCGTGATGGATCTATGAAAAAGGAAAGTAAATTTACTATTACATGAATTTTTCAACCACGTCATGCGACGTATTTAACGTAGTCTGGATCCGCCCCTGTCTGCGCTACATACTTGTCATTTAGCGGTGGACTTAAATTTATATTAGAAGATTAATAAATACAACACTTAATTTGGCTTTATTTTATGTATTTAACGATAAATTCATGTTACGAAGAATTTTTATTGATGTTTAAATCGTCGGATCATCCGATTCCCGGTCTGCATTTAAACTTAAAAACGTCCAATCATATTTCCCTTTAATCATAACTCATTGCTTTAAAGGAACGCAAGACAAATAATTGTTAAATGTTTATTGAGTACTATTGGTTTTGTAAAAGTTTTTACGCTTGTGATTTAAAACAAGCCAAGAATATATTCAAAGTACGAAATCATTAATATGACAGATAAAATAACGCATATTTATACCTGTTGGCATTGTACTTGTCTTCTAACTTCTGTTGTCCTTCCTCTGCAGCAGTTTCTGTCTCATTAATGACTTCTTGATCAAACTCTGGACCAGTGGAGACATTCTCCGAAACAAAGTAACTCCATAATTTCAGGTTGGAAACGTTGCAATGAGGACGAAGCACCTGGGAATTTAGAAATAATGTATTAAATCTGGTTTACGAGGAGAAAATCTTCTAGAGAAAATAAAGTAAACGAGTCCTTGTGAGTAGTAAATATATTTTAGGTGCTCAATAAATTATAATTTTTGTGTTTGTGAGCGAAATTCTAGCAACAAAAATATTTTTATCGTCCAATTTATAATCAAACCTTTCCTATTTACCCAAACAAATTTTGTTTAAATTTTGTTCTATCTCATTAAAAACATAGCACAATATAATTATACACAGACATAAGTATTTCTCTTCGTATTTGTCTAGAGAAGAAAAATATTCAGGTTTAGCCATTCACACTACAAAATTTTACTCTCAGACACGCGTGTCTGTGGGTGAAATCCCGCTAGCTTATCACTGTAAATGGACTTTTTAGGTCGTGCGAGGAAGGATTGGGACTAGTTGAATTGGTGGCTTTAAATTTTTGGCGGGAAGTAACATTCCAGTTCTATTTAGTTCAATGGATTTTACAGTCCAATAAAGTCACTTTAAGTACAACACAACAAATCAAGGATATTCTAGGATTTACTAAATGAAGTTTACAAGTTTAACCAATACACGTATTCAATAAAAGATAAACAAGGTGTCCATTGAAAAATAAACTTAGTTAAATGCCTGTTCTTATTTGATCTTGTTTTAAATCAATTTGATGGTTATTACACAACTACATGACCGAAAAGCATTCAGGTAATTTCATTACACTGCATGCGAACGGTTGCTGCAAAGATTTGCTAAAATATGGCTGCAAATCAACAACTCACCTTTTCAGAATGTTCTTTCGAAAACTTGAAATTATAAAATAATGATGATTTTTTGTGTAGCATGTCGATGTAATCCCAAAGACTTTTTATGTGAGATTTAGAATTCTTTGCATCTTTCTTTTCAGCATCTGATAGCCAACCCATCTGCACACGTTCGTGCTCTGAATCCAGTAAAAACGTACGAAAACGCATGGAGACATGATGATAGGCGAGGAAATGTAAATAATACTCGTTGAATTCGAAGGATAGTGGATACTGACGTAGTATCTGAGAACATAAAAAATATGTAGATATGAGTAATTTTTCCAAACTTTCATAAAAAAATAAATAACTGAGAACACAAACAATATGAACAAATAGCTAAGTCACTTTATCATTAATTTTGAATTATAGCAAATAAAAAAGATGGGAGACAATTGATGTCTAAACATTTCCCACCAAAATTCTTTAATAATATACGGTGTTTTTACTTTACGAAACGAGCGTGTTCTCCTAAGTGAGTCACTGATGGCGATGAGTAACTTATTTCTGGGCCCGAAAAGACCATTGAAAAAATATTGTGCACATGTTCTTAAAATGAATTTAACTATCCAGAGAAGTTATTTTTTGAACCTGATCTATGCATCATTAAGATGTTTATTGAGTCGTACAATGCAAGAAAACTTTGAAGATAATGACCACGAAAGAGTTGCTTTTAAGAGTTAATTGTATATTTCATATTTATAGCGCGAAAAGCACCTTAACTTCATGACTAAAATTTTTGATGGAATAAAGTTTTCAAAAAAAAACCAACAATATGCTTAACACAAGCTTTTGTCAAACGTATTTCTTGTGTAATATAAAAAACACATTCGCACAATACTCAGACGAAGGACACCAGACCATCTAAACTCCAATTTTTTAAGACAACTTTACGAAACAATGATAACCTGATGGACGCCATCAAGAAATTGCAAGAAAACAGGCGTGAAGCCACTTGATTGCGTTGAATGTGTATGATTACAGCGATGTGAGAAACGATGTCCAAAGGACAACTATTCTGTTTCAACTAAAACTTTAAAACCATTAATTGTTCGGTAGTATGGATCTAACGTTACTTGAGCAATTGACGTCACCTACAAAAAACAACATGAAGTATTAACTGTAGTTGTTCGTACGTGAAGCATTGAGTTCTATAATAACTGGAGCGGCTAAGTGGACTGGGACCTGACGCCAAAAAATGGCGGCCAATGGACCTATTTCCGCTGAGATGATGGCTTTGCAGAAAAATTATATTCTCGACCTCACCCTGATGTCTATAGCTAATTATACAGCAATATTCAAAAACAAACAAGATATCTTTTTTTGGCATTTATTTTAAAATGCCAGCACTTCAATCATATAATTGTTGGATATCGTAGTGTCCACACAAAAGGAACATGTCGCTTTTCACAGGTGAGATATTTCTTTTGTTTGTTCATCAAAAATTGAAAAGCAATTGAACTTGAAGCCTGAGCGATAAAATCCGACTGATGTTTTCCTATTTATGTTTTTAAATATCAACATACGTTTGCACTTATTTGTTAATGTGTGAAACCGTAAATCTGTTTGCAAAATAGTTTTCCTGACGCGAAAAAAGATTCTGCTTCGTTTTACTCAGTGGGCAGATACTATAAAGAGACGATCACCCTCAAAGAGAACCCATGAAGTAGAGCAGAGTTTGTTCTGGTCAATTTGCTGACAACATGAAGAGATGATCGGATAGCGAAATGTTTCTGGAATATGCTGCAGTACCACTATTTCATAGATCACTATATTAAGACAATTGGAAGATGCTACTGACCAGAAAGAGTCTAACTGTAAAATGCTAAGGCTGAATACAAACAAAGGTAAATGATTTACCGACTTCCTGTCTAACAGCTATTTGAACTTGGACTACTTCTATGGATAAAGATAATGGATTTAATAAAGATGCCTTGAATGCTTTGAAAGTAAAGGTCAAGTACCAAATAAAGATAACAAGGTTATGTGTGTTTTGATGCCGATGAATTGTCATGTCTTTTTCCTCACTCTTTCTTAAGGGGGAGAGAGAGAAATTGTGAGATTTTCAGAAAAGCAGCCAATTTCGGTAAATCTCAGCGGTAACGGAACAAATCCTCCATTTTTTGGCGTCAGCCACTAATTAAAGCCGTGTTAGGGATAGGCGCTCCAGTTATTATAGAACTCAATGACGTGAAGTAGAGACATTGCCAGTTCAATCATTCAAGGAGTGGAGAATATTCATATATGCATATTAAAATGGACTGAAAAAAAAAACACATTCGATTTCAAAGGAACTGGATATAACAAAACATAATATCTTCCCCTTTAGTATTAAGGGCTTACACTATTATCGCCATTGACTATCGTAAAAATAATAATACAGATAACAAACACACCAAGAAAGATTACACTATAATAATCTGATGTGTGAATTTTTACCACTTATGTATAACCACATTGAATTGTATAAGACCTGGAGGGAACACGTCAACATAATTACTATAAATTATTAGCGCACGGCACGTGGTCAAAATCATGAAAGACGCGGGCTCATGAAATAAAAATTTTATCGCCTACCCTGATTATACCACCACGATTGGGAGTATAGAAAATATCAAAACTACTTTCCTAACATAAATACTTTTTTAAAATTTTATTTATTAAACAATCTGCCAACTTCCGTGGTTTGCGGATGCTGAAATATCGACAGAAAAAGAAACATTTCATGACTCCGGTAAGTAGCACAGTAGTAGTTTTACTATTTTGTTTTTAACACGATACTTGAAGAGTGTTTCTGCGACTAAGTTTTAATTTAAAGTTATTTTGGTCCAGTCTTGTTTGTTCTTCGCTTTATCGCTCGCCAGACGAGGCTAAGCAGCCAATTTTTATCGAGTTTTGCATCCATCTTGTATTATGATCAAGCTAAACTCTACTGATTTGAATTGAGTTTAACTCCCAAAAATGGGGCAGAATTTGTTCATATTTTTTTTAAAAGATGAATGGAAAGTTAAAACGGAGTTGTGTTAAAATTGAATGCAGTGCCTTGCAAAATTAATGAGAACTATGGTATATGCCGTATAATAAAAAAAACTATTAAACTGCTTGTCGGCTCAAATTGACTGACTGTATAGTGTAGACAATTATAATGGGTTTGGAAAGTTGGATTTATGCAAACAGTTTTAAAGTACTATTTAATGTTTCCGTAAGTGAAGTATTTATTGTTATAGTAAACAGGTTAATACTTCAAAACCAAGATAAAAGAAGTGTGCTGAACAATGTGCTAAGATTTGCTCCTACCTTGAAATTTTTGTTCATAGTAGCTTGTGATTATATCATTAATATGCATGAAATTAAACATAATAATGTCTCATCTCACCAAATCCATACTTGGTATGATTCCAGGTGATCCATAAATTCACATTGGATGCATTGGTTACAATGAAGTTAAATGTAGAAGAAGAAAAAATAGATGGCAAAGAACTTATCTGTGTCTTATTATGAATTAGTAGAAATCAATAAAAAGAATTCTTTAAACAAATTGTAAACAAATTGAAATTGCTCATGGTCAAGCAACCTAGTCAAAGAAGCAAAGTCTGTCTTCAACATGTGACCTTTCCAATTATGTTTAGTTTCTTGGTACAAAATACTAATTTCGAGAAAATTGATTTGTATGTCTTTTATTAATATTTTTTTACCAAGAGATAAAAGGAACAAATTCAAAGGCTTGATGTAAAATACAAAGATTTATCAAGTTGTTTATCATTTAATTCCCAATTGTTAGTTTGTACATATAAATAATTAGTATTGGTAGCTGTAAATTGTTCAAACAGAACAGAAGAGTAGTAGTGCTCGAAGGGGTTAGCATTTTTGAAAAATTATATATTGTTCTTGACACATAATTACACAATTCCAAAAGACTCTAAGTAATGCACAATAATATCTATAGAACTTGCTAAATTTCTTCACGTACACTGTCAATTAACTATTTTGCCTTCATGCAGCAATAGACAGAGTGATTTTGTCAAAGCCAATGCACTTTCCAAGTTTCCAAACTAGTTTCCAAGTTTGTTATTTCAATGGAAAATTAATGTAGTTCTGTTCAGTAATAGACCCAAGGTTCTGCCAAGCAGTTTACAAAATACAAATTTCCAACCAACAGTATCATCTTGGTGTTTTGAATTTTTTTTCTTTTTGCAGCTCTTCTAGTTCAACATACTTTCTTTATGAGTTTTTTAGTAGATTTATCAGGTAATGACAATACACTTATGATACTTATCCATGGTAAATTTTCAGTTGACTTATGTCGTAAGACTGAAGCAAACATTTTCTCGCTTCCTTAGGAGCATTTTAACACAGATTTATAAATTTGAGCAAGAAAAATAGTTGCATCAAACTGTTTACAGTCAAACGCACAGAAGCATGAAATAATGTATAAATTTGACGAGATTTACAGGTCTACTAAAGAATGCCGTTTAATTTTCACTTTTAAAAGGTTAAAATATCATAAAATAACTTAAATGCTACAGCCAAAATATGCGTTTCTCTACCGTCGATTTTCTTTATTTAGATGTGTGTGTTTACTGTGTTTTCACGTAATGCTAAAGAATTATTTTCACATGATATGCTGACGGTATGGCAAATTTTTCACTTGTTGTCGTTCATATAAACAGTATTAGAAATCAGGAGGGAGTTAATATTGAAAACAATTTTTAAAGTGGAAGTTTGACTACCAAATCCGCCATTACCGCCATGTTTTTGACAACCGGGTCCAGACACCCTTCCCCTCCATGTCTTATAGAACTCAATGTATAACCAGAGATCAAACTCCACGCTACTAAAAGGAGATCTTACATGAAATATGACCCAATATAAAAGATGCTTTGCAAGACCTCAATGGTTTATAGGAGCATACGTAACAAGTAACTTTAGTAAATAACATAAGGTAGGTGCTTAAATGAAGCTTACTTGTGTAGTAATGTCCCATCCATCTTCAAACGAGACAAGAACAGATGATCCCTGAATGTCCAAAAGATCCACGACAGCACCGGATATCCGAAGTACAAGCGATAACTACAAATGAAAATAGGCATGAGATACACCAAAAAAAACAACAAAAGTCTATGTTTCAATACTTTCTTCTGCATATCTTTCAAGAACGTTCTCGTGGCATAAAAATATACTTCATTGGATAGAGTTAACCATAGGTTGCTGTTTTATATTTATGGGAAAAACGTAAACTAATGTTCTTTTCTATTGACTGTTGACTTTGGATCGTTGCTAGTTGAGATTTAATATATTTTTTAAACAATCCAATGGTTCACAGTAGAACAAGAACGAATTTAGGATCGAGATGTTTCGAGGGTTGTGCATCCCTTCTAGCCTTGGCCAGATGGAATGCAGGAGGGGTGCCGATTTCCTTACAAAATACTAAGTATACAAAACAACTAAGGATGCATCCATTCTAGCTTTGGCCAGATGGAATACAGGAGGGGTGGAAATTTCCTTACAAAATACTAAGTATACCAAACAATTAAGGATGCAACCCTTCTAGCTTTGGCCAGATGGAATACAGGAGGGGTGGAAATTTCCTTACAAAATACTAAGTATACCAAACAATTAAGGATGCAACCCTTCTAGCTTTGGCCAGATGGAATACAGGAGGGGTGGAAATTTCCTTACAAAATACTAAGTATACCAAACAATTAAGGATGCAACCCTTCTAGCTTTGGCCAGATGGAATACAGGAGGGGTGGAAATTTCCTTACAAAATACTAAGTATACCAAACAATTAAGGATGCAACCCTTCTAGCTTTGGCCAGATAGAATGCAGGAGAAGTGGAAACTTCCCAACAAAATACTAAGTATACCAAACAATTAAGGAAAAGAAATTGCGATTGTAGCGTTCAATGGAACAGAGTTTGAACAATTTAACGAAAATAGCCTGACTTTCGGCAACAAGCAGCTACCAATATCTAATCAAAATTAGATGCCTCGCCCCCGTAATATCCGAATCAAATATCAAAAAATATGAACAAACGTAAACTAATGTTCTTTTCTAGTTGAGATTTAATATATTTTTAAACAATCCAATGGTTCCCAGTATAACAAAAACGAATTTAGGATCGAGATGTTCCGAGGGTTGTGCAACCCTTCTAACCTTGGCCAGATGGAGATGCAGGAGGGGTGCCGATTTCCTTACAAAATAAGTATACAAAACAATTAATTATGCATCCCTTCTAGCTTTGGCCAGATGGAATGCAGGAGGGGCGCCGATTTCCTTACAAAATACTATGTATACAAAACAATTAAGGAAAAGAAATTGCGATTGTAGCGTTCAATGGAACAGAGTTAGAACAATTTTTAACGAAAATAGCCTGACTTTCGGCAACAAGCAGCTACAAAATCTAATCAAACTTAGGTACCCCGCCTTAATATCCAAATTAAATATCCAAAAATGAGTATAGTATAGGAGTAGACTGTAAATTACCATGCTTAAACTATACACAGCCGAATATACAAAAGAAATTTGGCATTGGAATACGATTCCATCCTTTTTGACGACGCAAAAATTGTAAATAATGCATTGTCTAGCAACAACAGTTTAGAATTTAGAAAAATCACACAACAGCATGTTGAGAAACGTCACAGTAGAGAACCTGTTGTTAAATATGAGTTAGATTATCATAATACAATTGAATCCATCAATATACATATATTATATAAAACAGCGTAAACCAGCTGATACCTGCTTCAACCAATCAGTATCTTGCAACGACTTGAAAAATGGATCACCTTGTGTTAAATCTTTAGGGGGATTGCTGGGACAGCAAACTTTGAACAACTTACGTAAGCTGGTTTTGAGATCACGTACATCCGGTATCTTGTACGACAGGAATAAAAGACCTATGATTTAACGGATCAATAGATCGTACATTGATGATGTGCATATGAAATACGCTCGACTGCTTTTAATTAAGTTGTTTTGAACGAAAGAATTGTGGACACACAGCAAAAAATATATGATATTTTTATTTCAATGTCGATTTTGAAGCTGCTCTTGTAAAAACTTAATATAGTTGCAACTATTTTCTTGGTGTTATCACATTACGAAATGGTCTCTATGTTGAATGATTTTGACAATGTATTTTCTTTCTTTAAAACGCAAATTTCAACCAACATGGCGAACGTTCCATTGTTTCCTCACTCCCAGGCTGCTCTCAGGTGAAGAGGTTACACACTACATATTGTACGATAGTCAAAATGACATACCTCAATAGGAACGAAATCAATATTAAGATACGAATCTTTCTTTAAATTCTGTGAAAGATAAACGGTAAGGTAAGATATTCAATTGATTAATCTGAAAAAGAATTTCATTTTACAAGCAATTTGCTATAAATATAAAGCAATCGTTCACTAATTAAAATAATTTATCATTATCATATATTTGCAAAAAGCTCGTTTGAATAAATTATTTTTTGCTTAGTGAACGACTATACATATGCTTTATATTAAGCCCTTAATAACCGAGCTCGAGGTCTTTACGGACAAATAACGGACCGAGGTCTTTTTGTAGAGACGAGCCCGTAGGGCGAGCGGTAAGAAAATGTTAAGTCCTAGTTTCAGCAGAGCTTCAGGAAAAAATCTCACCTTTAAATTGCTTTTGTCTCCAAAAACGTACAGTGCAGCAGGCTCCCATCCTTGCTGAGTTATTGGTTTGTCAACGGAATCCACAACAGAAACACGTTTAGATGCCTTGTCATTTGATCGTAGATTCATCGTTGCTTTAGACATGCTGACGTTGGCTGCCAGTGAACGATGTTTCGCCTCCGCTTTATTCTACGATACAGGATTTGAAGACACTTAAAATTAAAAGCATAGAAAATCACGGTTACATAATCACTTAATAATGCTTAAAGCAAAACTTTAAGATTGATAAAAAAAAAGTGATAAATGCAGGTACATTTGCTAATGTTAATAAAACTTAAAGAATGGTAAACAGTCCCTAAATACTTATTTCATACATAAATATTAATCTAAACTTATATCTAAATCACTCAGTTTTAGAAAAACAATTATGCAATTCACTTTCATTAGTTCTCGTTTATTTTTCGAGGATACTTTAATTCAAAATGTGATTTTCAAAAAAAACGAGTAAAGTAATATATATTGCTGTGATACCAAGGGTGGCAATAGATTTGTGTTCATGTGGGAGAGGGGGCGTTGCCTTGGGGGGGAGGGCACCTACATGTTAGGGTAGGGGACGAGGGTTGAAACGATAAATATAAACAACTAACCTAGGGCAGATAAATATTTATCTTGCTCCACGTTGGATGAACGTATTGCGTCAGTGCTTCCACCACTTGCAGCTACACCAGAGTGAATGATGGATGCCACAGAGCTTCGTTCAATGGCAGAAGATCGCCATAAAACGGCGAATTTATTGACTTTATGTCTCCACGTCGCAACAGGAAAACGCATATGGCGATGGTTTTTAGACACGCGTAACAAAGAGTCATCGGTCACGTGTTGTGGCACCACTAAAACAGCTGGGTAACTGAAAGAAAAATCCACATCATGATGACTACTTTATCGATACATGTTTATTCTTTAAAGACTTGTAAATTTACCATTTCGCAAAATAAATGTATTATACGATAGCAAATATGAGTTTTAAAACGCTTATGGTAATAATGAAAGGGTTAAATGCTCCTAAGTCTTATTCGTAAATTTTGAGCATAACAATTCTGTAATTGAAAATTATCTCCTCCATTTTTCTTATAACTTTACCTTCGACAGGCTGCGTACGAAAGATTGACCATAGAAAGCCTCCAAGATCCACTTTTACTCCCTATACGTTCCTCAAGTACAGAGCCAAAGCCAAGTCTTTTATACTCTTCACAATACGGGGTTAAATTCAAGTTTTCAATAACCGGCGAATTTCGTACAACAAAAGATCCATCAACCTAACAGAAAATGTATAACCAATAACATTGCAGAAAAACTAACAATAAAATAAGTAATGGTAGTTAGTGGTAGGTAATGGTAACTAATGGAAACTAATGGTAAGTAATGGTAGGTAATGGTTATTAAGAGCTTAATAATGTTGGGTAATGGTAGGTATGGTAGGTAATGGTAAGTAATAGTAGGTAATGGTTACGTATGGTAAGTAATGGTAGGTAATGGTTATTAAGGGATTAGTAATGGCAAGTAATGGTAGGTTGGTAATGGTGGTGAATAGGTAATGAAAAGGGAATAATAATAGATAATGGTAATGGTGGTAATGGAATGGAATGGAAAATGGTGTAATGAAAATAAATGGAAGTAATGGTAAAAAATGGCAGGTAATGTGGTAATGGTAAGAATGGTGAAATGGTGGAAGGTAATGGTAATTAATGGAATGAATGGTAAGTAATTAAGTAATGGTAAGTAATGGTAAATAATGGGTGGTAATGGTAAATGGAAAATAATAATGGAATGAAAATAATGGAATGGAATCAATGGTAATAATGGAGGAATGGACCAATGGAATGGAAATGAAAAGTAATGGAAGGAATGGAATAATGGAATGGTAGGAATGTAATAATAATGAGTAAGTAATGAAGTAATGGTAATGGTAATAATGGTAACATGGAATGGTAATAATGGAAGTAATGGTAAAGTAATGGGACAATGGAAGGTAATGAAGGAAGTAATGGTAATGGAATAATGGAATAAGGTAATGGTAATGGAATTAATGGAAAGTAATGGTAGGTAATAGTATGTAATGGTAAGTAATGGTAAATAATGATAAGCAATGGTAAGTAATGGTAAGTAATGTGCTCATAAGTTTAAAAAACTTGACAAACTCCGAAGTTTGCAATAAACATGTACAAACAGGAAAATAAATTTAAAACAACGCTTTAATTTTTCCTTCAACATGATTAATTTGGGAATTCTCTTTGCGAATCCTCATTCATGATTGATTTGCGAATTCTCTTTGATTTATTTAACTGGTTGACCTCAGATTGGTTTGCACAGGCCAATACAAGCTCAGTTACTAACCAATAAACGCACGCGTTGTATTGTTTTTATTTTATAAATGCAAGTAAAAAAACACCGTTCGGCTTTATGAAGATATTTTTGTTCCTTTTCCTTCAATAGTGGGTTATTGTCTACTTATATGAACAAAATTTGTTATCGGCTCAAAGTAAAAAATAGAACAAACCACGGAAATTATTCGTTCAAACAACAAGTCGTCTATTGTCACCTTCACCCAGGTATATTTACTATCAACTCTTACTAACCACTCACCTGTTCGCCGCTCACACTTTCTACAGAATCATCAGATGAAAAATTATTTCTAGGTAATCTAGGGGATGATATGCCTCAAACAACGAGTCGTCTATTGTCACCTTCACCCAGGTATATTTACTATCAACTCTTACTAACCACTCACCTGTTCGCCACTCATACTTTCTACAGAACCATCGGATGAAAAATTATTCCTAGGTAATCTAGGGGACGATATGCCATTTCGAGTTTGGCCTCGTTTCATCGATCCTCTCGCTTGCTTTGCTTCCTTTCGAATATCACTAACAGCCCGAGGTATCCTAGCGCCAGTATTGCGCGGTTGATTTTCTGCGGGTGGGATTTGCAGGCGGTTTCTTGTCCGCTTCTTTAAACGAGAATGTGTCTAAGACCAATGAAGGATATCGTAATCGTGTCAACGTTTTACGAAACAGTTCAATTTTCTCGGCACCGACCACCTCATCAAAATAAAGCTTTAACATCTATAACAAATAAATCATTTTTACCGAAAGAGGGCGATAAAATTATGAATGTGGCATGAAATCATCGTGGTGAACAATTTAACAGATTTACTCCTAGCAAATGTGGCATGAAATCATTGTGATGAACAATTTAACAGATTTACTACTACCAAATGTGGCATGAAATCATCGTGGTGAACAATTTAACAGATTTACTACTACCAAATGTGGCATGAAATCATCGTGGTGAACAATTTAACAGATTTACTACTACCAAAGGTGGCATGAAATCATCGTGGTGAACAATTTAACAGATTTACTACTACCAAATGTGGCATGAAATCATCGTGGTGAACAATTTAACAGATTTACTACTACCAAATACATTCTTTTAATAAGCTAAAACGGTAATCTGATGCTTTTCGTATTTTTTACTTCTCTGATTGCTTCATTTCCAAAAGTTAAGCAAAAAATCTCACAATTGATGGAGACATGACTTTGTCGTTGATTAGTGGTAAAACCACTTTTATAAAGCAGTCAGAGACTGTGAGCTTCTAGAACACGGGGGTAATTCATCATATGCAAAGCACCTACTGAACAATACCTACCACTTCTATGGGAGACTTTGTCAACTGAATGAAGAGTGTGAATGGCTTTGACAAAGTTGTAAAAAAAGTTCAACCTTCCTCCCCGGGTAGGATTCCATGCTTTGAAAATATTCCTCAAAGTAAAATCAAGTTTTTCTTGTTAGCCATGCGATTCGTGCAGCATGGGTACATGCATGTGCTTACTGGGAGTATTCAAATTTGAAACATCCTCAAAAACTATATTTAAAGAAGCCTTCCTCACGGGTGGTACCCGTCTCTACCCGCAAATTTTTAGGTTTTGATAACTTTACTGACGACAGTCAGAATCCTATTAACGTCAGAATGTTATCAATGCATGGAGTCAAAAACCTGAAACGTCGCAGATCGCAATTGAACACATTCTTGCAACCAAGATCTAAGATGTCGCAAATACTGAGCTGGGAGTTTCTTATCTCTCACTAAGGATCCAATTGGAAAACTTCCCGTCACGATCATTTCTGAAGCTGAAATTTAAATTACATTGTTAAATACCCATTTTCAAAGTTCATTTTTCCAACTGTTTCATTGATGGAGAGTCTATCACACAAGAAAAAAAAACTGTTTCCTTACAAGTAACTCAAACGTACGTAAGATAGATAATACGTTATCTACTGTTAGATGATAAAAAATCACGTTTGTCATATCGTAAAAGCGCGACCTTTGCCCGACTTTGGTTGGCGTCTTATCTCGATCAAAAAAGAGCGGGAACTTTTTAAAGTATTTTTTTATTATTTTATTTAAACATTCTTTTGGGGAAAGTAAGTATTTCGTTTATGTACGTTGTTCTCTGTTTTCTCATGGGTATATAACAAAAAGACTTATTGACTGAAATCTCGGAAAAAAGTGTTTTTCTTTTACACTCGACTGGCATAATTTTCCTCGGGTAACTGGGCTCCTTCTTAAGTAAAAAACAATGCCCGTTCTTGAGATCTTGGTATTTTGGCTTAAATGACACATGCCAATTGGAGCTTTCGGTATTTATTTAGAAACAAAGAAAGAATACTTTGGACAAAAATAGTTATTTGCTCATTTCATATACTCATAGTCCTATATCAACAACTGGTAAAATATCTTAGCACACGAAACTCTAATGAACAAACTTTAAAAAACAAACAACAAATACAAAGTGTGAAAACAGGCATGATAACATGAAGTATTTACATAGATAAAATTTTGTTGTAAAAACTGCGAGCCTCCACCAATCAAGCAAAAACAAAACATCAATACAATCTACGTATGCACAACATCCATGAACCGAAATTAGTTTTGATAACGTTTAAACTCACCAAATTCATCAAGAGGAGTTCCTTTGAATATAATCCGATAGTTAGTAACAAATACTGCACCTTCCGCAGGGAACATAACAGGACCACCATAATGCACACAAGTGCCAGTCTCCCGACCATCCGGAATTAAATAACAGCGAAGTCCATCCATTTGCATTTCTTCTAAAGGCAACATGGCGGGTCGGATTATCTTAGCCTATTGATATAGCAAATGAAGGAAAATTACATTTTCTATGATATTTATACATCCTTATTTATATCAAGCAAAACCAGACAAGTTTGCCATCGATGCAACGAAATTTTCTGCATTGTGTTTGCAAATGTCATTTTACAATATGGATATAACTTGTTGACAATTTTCAACGAGAAACGATATGGGTGGGTTTTGTTACGTAAATACTCTAAATATTATTGTTCTTTCTCAGTCCTCAACCATGTTTTGAAAATTGTGTATAAATGCATTTCTGTATCGTAGTTGTACCTTTCGAATGGGAGCAAGTTGTTTATATTCTCTGTAAACTGGTTCCAGTGATTCTGTGTGCATAGTCACCACACCTAAAATACAATAATAAAAGCTACGGCATCACAAGATAGCATTCTTCTCGTTTATAACCCGTCTCACACTTTTAACGGAGAGTATTTCAAAAATATTAACGAAAAATTTAAACTATTGTAGTGGACATTATAGAAACTATAATATGAGCATAAAAACGCAACACAATGTCATTTTTTTCAATATCAGGCCCATAGCAGACTTTTGAATCAGTCGATCAAGGTTTCACTTCGAAAAAAAGACTTTGGCTGCTTACTGGACAGCCTCAAACATTAATTTATAATTTTTTCACATGCTTTCAGAATTGATGAAAAATCAAAAAGATGCAGTATTTTGCTGAAGTTAAGATAAAAAATTTCTATTGTAAATAAGTTCAAAAACACACACAAAAAAATATCCCTACTTGGCACCAAGCTGTAAAGAGACTTTAAATGGTCGGTTGAAATTCCTGCAACTGTTCCAACTCTATCCATAAAGCGAATAACAAATCTCGTCACTTCATTAATAATCGTGTCCGTTTCATCATCTTCCCAGTGGTCACCAGCATGGACGTCCCCATACACACTACCCACCCCTAAAACATAAAACATATCCCATGGCAACCTTTGTTCACATGATCCATTCTTTGGGTAGACCACGTACAAATTTCTTATTTTTAGAATTTAGGTCCTTTCAGATTTTCGGAAAATAATGTAAAAAACCGTAATTGTGTTGTGTTAACTCTTTAGACATGGGAATTTTCTTCGGTACCTATTTTGCCTAAGAATGAATGAAGAAACTTATCAAATAAAATATGCAAAACGCGTGCTCTGATTGGTCGATGCTCGTGTTTGCATCAGGCCATCCAAACATGGAAATTGAAATTGAGAATTTTGAATATGCCTGAAAGCAAAGCCGATTTTTTTTGCCTAAATTGACTTGGAGTTCATTTCTGGCATTTGAAATGTGAACTTAAATCACCATTGGTGGTTTTTCTAAATCTTTGAATTCAAAAGCCTCGCTGTAACCCACGTTTTACTAACCTTTAGAGCTTTGCACGCTAGGTATAGTTTAATTTTCGTATTTCCGCTTAAAGTTAACAACACACTACACTTAAGTTATTTTATATAACAATAACTTAACGCTTTAAAGTTTTTAGATGTCATAATCCAAAGATTTTGGAATGTTGCTTGAGTCAAGAAAAGCAGTGCAAACACTCGTTTTCAGCACGTGTTTCCCGCGCTTTTCTTAACTATCGCTTAGTTCCCGTATGTTTGGGTCCGGCCATCAAAACACGGAAATTGTTTATTCTTACCCGTGATGGTATCATTGACATCACTGACAGATCCATTTGTACTTTGAGGAACAATTTTACCGGGATTAGCACGACAATCTGATCCAATACTAGTGTTTGCAATGGATCCATCTACGTTCTCTTTCACCCCTAAAAAATACCAAATTATAATCAATGATATTCGATAACAGTGTAAAAAATAATAAAAGCGCCTTTAAAGTGCTTTAGATCGACTAGTGGATTTTGATTGATTCTATCTGATTGTAATAAGTACAAAAGAAGACAGCACATCCAAAGCCCTGGACACGAGGAATATACTTTCAACAACAATATATTAATATCAATTTACAGTAGAAAGGCGCTCACCAGTATTTTCTAGAATGACATCGTTTTGACGTCTCTTCTTTGGTTTAACCATTTGAGAGACACTGAGGGGTATCATGAGATACACCATACGATTGACGAAGTGGATAGCTTTGCTGAACACGATGCTTTCCTCGTTTGTTACGTATGTCTTTTGTGAATCTTTTGAAAATGTTTCCCACATGCCAAGCTGAATGAAACAAAGAAAACATTAAAACTTGATTTGAAAACTTGAGACAAAACATTTATAATAAGTTTATAGTAACATTTGTAACATAGAACTATACAGTTTAATCACCCGATGCAAACGTTGTAAGCAATAAGTTTTTTGTTCTACCACCTATTGACCTTAATAAAGTAAATCGTTTGAACCCGGGAGTATCGTAACATGTTTGTAGATGAAGATCGTCCAGGATAGTATAGTCCTGAGAAGGACTGTTGTTATTGATGTAGACTGACGTTTTGACAACCGTAACGGTAGTCATCTTCAGAAGAGACAACCTTAGCGGTAGTCATCTTCAGAAGAGACAACCTTAGCGGTAGTCATCTTCAGAAGAGACAACCTTAGCGGTAGTTATCTTCAGAAGAGACAATCTTAGTGGTAGTCATCTTCGTCATCTGAAGATGACTACCGCTAAGGTTGTCGAAACGTCAATCTACATCAATACCAACAGTCCTTCTCAAGACTATACTAACCTGGACGATCTTTATCTACAAACATATTTACTATAAGTTGACCACTACAGACTGTCTTATCAGTTGAGTAATAAAATGCCGCTTTCTATGTCGATTTTATATTGAAATCTTGTTTCATTTTTAAATCTCCTAAAACAATTTTAAAGTTCCAAGTCACTAAAGCACTTCTAGTGCGTGGTCGAAGGATTTAATAAATCTTCCATCACGTTTTCTAAATATTCTCGCTGTCGAGTAATGCAGCGTTTTCAGCAGTTCATGCTGTGCATCAAAGAATGTGTCAGTGGCCTTATGTACGTATTCTGTACTTAGTTAAGTCTTTTTTGCTTAATTAGCGCACGTTTTTACATCTGCATTTGCAACTTGTCCAACAAAAACATATAGGTATCATTTTGATAACAAGACGATAAAAAAAGTGTAATTTACAAAAGAAAAAGGAAAAAACTCTGTATTTGCTAAAAGAAATCGATACAAAAATTGCAAAAATAAAAAACAGAATGAGTCATGACAACCGAACTAGTGTCTTAAGGCAAAGCATCAGGAACAAACATGTTCAACAAGACATGCACAATTCTTCATTGCTAACTCACGCTGCACGTTTCAGCCAATCACATTTAGCCTATTTAAGTAAGGCCTCGACAAAATGGTTTCTCTCGCCATTAAGATAAGAAGACAAATAATCTTCATGTAAAAACACAATCGAGTGAAAAAGTAAGCCTCACCTGCTTAGCAGCAATATCTAACGCTTCATCCTTCACTATCAAATCAGAATCAGATACATCCTGCGGGTAGATACCAGATTTCGTGATCACAATGAGGTCTTTTTTTGGTACTAATGACGGAGGCGATGCTTGCGTGAGGCTGTTCCGTGAGTTTCGTGGAGTGGATAGGCGTTCAAAAATGCTAGAACTATGGGCTAGCACTGCAACAAAAAATGTTCAACTTTTTTTCCCTTATCAGGTCTATAATGCCAGTGTGGAAATGCCTGAACCTGCCTTTGACAGGGAAAAGAGTGGGTTGAAATTGGGACACGAAAACACTTATAGAACATTGTTACCTAAGAGTTTTATTCAAAACTTAGCGATTAAACTTCTCATGAAATGAACCTTCACATGATATTGGAACAGTTTTCTACGTAAATCCGATAAGCCACAACAAAAATGTTAACGAGGAGTGAAAAATATGTGGTAAGACAAACTTTAGCCAATACTGCTTGCATTCGAAAAACTATTATAACAAAGGACAGACGAAGTACTTTCAATATACCCTGAACACTTTGTGTAGAGGGACTAAGAAATTATATGTTTGTTACAAGCTTAAAACAATGACTCGATGTCAGTTAGTGCACTAATGGGTGTTATAATTTATTAAAAAAAAAACAACACAACAAAACCCGTGCACTGATTGGTCTATGGCTGAGTTTGCATCTGATTGGTCTATGGCTGAGTTTGCCATAGTCTTCGCAAACACATATGAACTGAATCAATTAAATCGATCAAAGAAAATTTGAAAATAAATCACGAATACATGTTGCCGGAAAAATTTAATGGTTCGTTTGAATTGATTTGTTTCGCATTGTTGTTATTCAATTGATCTCTGCTCGAGAGTTTACCTGAGCAAACACGAAAAACATATTATTTCTTAACAGAACTTAATAACGTGTTAATTCATGGCGAAAATTAGTAATTTGCTTACGTTTATCGGTAGATAGCCTCTTTTTAGCGCTCGTTCCATCGTATAAATGCTTTATATCCGTTTGAACATCGCTAAAGAATGTTTCTTCCCAAAACTGCGGATTTTGCCAAATGGGATGTTCTTGAACGCAAGGGTATGCAAATTGCATCACTCCTGGTTTTAAGTTCTGAAACAAAATAGCAGTAATTGAACTGATGTGTTTTCTGAAAAACCATTCAGACGGTATTTTATGCGCATTTATTACGTGGGTAGAAATCAGAGACCGTCAGAGTAGGCGATGACTGGCGCTAAATGTCATCCTCGCGCCTCGACGTTTGTTGTTTAGTGTGTGTAAACTGTTTTCCTAGCAGTTATTTGTTAGCGGCTGGCTTTTCAAATATTTGTAAAATGGGAACGCGATAGTACAATTTCAAGGGTTGTATTTGGGCAAAATGTTTGGAGCGATGGCTTGCAATGGATAAAGCGCTAGGTTTAAACTTCCGGTGAGTATCTCAGTGTTTAAAGCAATATCGCCGCACGAGGCAAAGCACTTTACAACCTATAGCACTTTACAACCTATACCGAACGACACTTTAGAACCTATACAGAACGACACTTTACAACCTATACCGAACGACACTTTAGAACCTATACCGAACGACACTTTAGAACCTATACCGAACGACACTTTACAACCTATACCGAACGACAGTTTACAACCTATACAGAACGACAGTTTTTACAACCTATACCGAACGACAGTTTAAACATCGTACTACCAGATTAGACGTGTGCAACTTGCTAGCAAACAGTTCGGACAAAGCCATATTTAGCTAAACGTAACAAGCAAGGAGCTTCGTGGACTTTAATACAGGTTTGAATTGTGAGGAAATGTCTTCACTTGGGTGAGCTCGCGTCACATGATGGCAACTCTTTAAAGGTAACGAACTTACAGTGAAAAATATCTGCTATTGTATGTTATTTTTGGACTTGTGCACCTTGCAAACCATTTCGTTTCTAGTTGTGCGCATAAGTTTTGTAATTTCGCAGTTGAACGGTTTAGTACTTCCGCCATCTTGTTTTCTAAAAACTAATAACTTGTGCGCATAATTTAGCTAATCTGTCGTTATGTTATCCGTGATTCCATGAAACTGGTTTAGACATTTGTTTAGTTACAGTTTATCGAAAGCGATTGCCATAAACAAATATGTAATTTTTATTCAGAGATATTTCAATAAAAAAATGCAAATTTGTTACACACAGATGTCAAATTCACCACTTTAAGGGGACAGTGAAACGAAAATTTTGCTATTTAAATTATATCGTTATTAAAGACTACTCTAAAAAGGACAGTAGACTTCTAAAACTGTTTATTCGCATCTTTTTTATCATCGAAATACTGAAGTTTTTGTAATGTCCAATTTACACCACCTGTGACGTCATATTGACGTCATAATGATCGCTGCAAATTTACAAATTCCTTCAGATTCTGGAAACTGTTGGATAAAATACCATGTACAATTCTACAGCGTTAGCATTTCAAAACAACGGACTCCATACGGTTAAAGTAACATAACAGGTTATTCTGGTTTACCCATTTCTCATTATGACACCAGTGGTTTTGAAAATCGGATACTAGCAAACCTCGACATTAGCAAACCCGACATTAGCAAACCTCACATTAGCAAACCTCGACATTAGAAAACCTCGACATTAGCAAACCCCAACATTAGCAAACCTCGACGTTAACAAACCTCGACATTAGCAAACCTCGACATTAGGAAACATCGAAAACAGCAAACCTCGACATTAGCAAACCTCAACATTTTCAGAATGGACAGAGATACGTAAGACTAAACTGTTTTAGGGTTCAATGAAAACATAATTTAAATCACCAAATTTAATTTTTTCCTTTTACATGCCCTTTAACATCATGTAGTGTACCTAAAGTACAAAGATGTCCCTAACATGAACAAAGTTTTAAGGTTCAATGGAAACATAATTTAAATCACCAAATTTAATTTTTTCCTTTTACATGTCCTATAACATCATGTAGTGTACCTAAAGTGCAAAGGTGTCCTAGCATGAACAAAGGATGGTTGTCCGCGATCATCCATCGACAACTCCCATACAGATACGACGTAACAATCTTAAATACGTAATGACTTAAAATATCATTCTGGGTACATACTTACCCTGCAAAACTCTGACATCAAAGGAAGTAAGGCTGATGCAACAGCACCATCGCTCAAACTCGCATCATCCTGTATAAAAGCAGTAGATGGTTTTAACAAGATACAAATGTTGCTTGAATTTACGATGATTGTTCAATGCGTGCTTTTAAAGACGAGAAAGTAGAAAAATTTTAGAGGAGATGAAGGAGGGGAAGACTCAAGTTTGTCCCGTGCAAAATCAAGAGTATTTTTTGTTAAATTTCGGATACCCCCCTCTCTTCGCAGCCCAAGTAAATCTATCCCAGTACGTACACATAAGTAAAATTATCTATAATTCAAAATTTCTCAAGCATTTATAACATACCTGCAATGCACAGTTCATTAATGTGATAACCAAAACAAACTGATCATGTTCAAGAACAGCTCTATGTTGTTCAGAACGTGCAGCAAGCTCTTGACATAACGCTAGTTGTGCTCCATGTGACTTCAACGCCCTTTGAACGGAGGGTAATGCCTGAAAAAACACACGAAGTAATGGAAAGCTTCATTATGCCAATGTACCACCTACTGATGTGCAGACATGAAAACTTGGAAGAAAAACTGCTCTTCAGAGCAATATATTTGTTAGAATGTTAGAAGGTGTTGATCATGCATGTTGTTGCATTGCTAACGGATGATTACATGAGCCCGCGGGTAGCCGGGAGTCAGCAGAGCGTTAAATCATTTTGGCAAATGGAAAAGATTAAATACTTCACAACAAAAAACTTATTAGAGCAATTCCTCTAAGCTCTGACATTGCAAATTCACAAAACCTTTAAAATGAAAACAAGTAATTTAGCCTGATTTGAAAATTAAAACTAAAATGACTTATGACAATTTTGAAAAGGTCGTACGTTTTGCGCTTAAACTTTTTACTCCTTTCAATGACTCAAAATCATTTCACTCCTCGCTGTGTCCTGGTTACCTGGGCTCATGTAAACTGCCCCTAAGAATTGCTCAATGACATATCAAAACTCTAAAACGGTAGTCATCTTCAAAGTCAAGTCAATACAAACACAAAAAGTCCCCAAAATTGAACTGCACTAACTTCGACATTCAACACCTACACATGTTAAGATACTTCTGGGTTCAATTTAAACTTGGAACAAAACAACTTAAGAGGTCAGGGGCCGGTTGCACGAAGCCTGGATAGCGCTATCCAATGAATAGCAAAAATTTTCAAACTTGTAAAAAGGGCGTTTGTGTTTTTCTCACGACAAAGAAATTTCGTAATCTTCGAAGCAATATTTTATTTCAGCGATTGCACAGTTCAAATCGTACATTTTTCTGTTTTAAAAGATTTTATGAAAGTTCAGAAAAATTTGCTGTCCAGTGGATAACGCTATCAAGACTTCGTGCAACCGGCCCCTGACCTCTTAAGTTGTTTTGTAGATAAATATTTACAAAACACGATAGCAAGGGCCTCCTTTTCAGTTGCGAATATCGTTGTTCTACTGACGAAAGAGCCCGACTAGCATAGCAGATCACGTTATCGACGTTTGTTTTAGGATCTCTTTGTGTTAATATGGCTGATAAGCCAACTGGGCTTGCATCCACTAATACCGACGTTTCTTTTGATGTATCAAAATGACTCATAACTGGACTGTTGGTTAGTGCATTTTTTAACTTGTCATAAGCTGCTTGGTGTTCCCACGTCCATGCAAAGCGCGCGCACTTACGTGTTAGTTTTCGAAGGGGTTCTGTAATGGTAGCATAATTTTGGAAAAACTAAGAGCTGTAATTGGCCATCCCCAGTAAGCTTCTCACTTCGCTGACCGTTGTGGGTATTGTAGTTTTAACGAAGGCTTCTACCTTTTTTGGGTCCGGGCAGACCCCATGTTCTGAGAATAATAACCCAAAAAACTCAAGGTTCTTCTTCAGGAACTTGCTCTTTTGGCAATTAAGTGTGAGATTGTGATCTTGTAATCGGGCAAGAACTTCATCCAATGCACGGTCATTGTCTGCTCTATTACTTCCAAATACGATTATGTCGTCAGCAATGTTCTTGACCCCTTTAATTCCTAGCAATGTTTCCTGCAGATTATGTTGAAACAATTCAGCTGCGGCATTAGTTCCATAGTTTAATCGCTTATAACGATAGAGACCGCAATGAGTTGAGAATGTTGTGATGCTGTGGGATGCTGGACATAGTTCTAGTTGGTGGTATGCTTGAGCAAGATCAAGCTTTGAAAATATACGTGCTCCATTGAGTTCCATGGATACAGCTTCCACAGTTGGTATTGGATGTCTGGTTCGTTTGATAGCCGTATTTGCTATCCGCATATCAACACACAATCGAATGTTACCATCACGCTTGGGAACAATCACCACCGGAGAGACCCAGTCAGTGGGCATGCCTTCAGGTATTTTCTCTATGATGTCATCGTTCTCTAATCTGTGTATTTCACTTTCCACTTTCAGGCGTAGGTGGAACGGTGTTCGTCGCTGTGGTTGTGCAACCGGGAGCACAGAGTCATCAATTGCTAGTCTAATTTGTTTATTTTTTTAACTTCCCAAGTCCGTCAAAGACAGGTGCATGTTTGTCCAAAATGTGATGGAGCTTTGTATCCTTTGTTGTAAGTGTTGAGTTTTCTGGCGATGTGTTAATTTTGTTCAAGTTTATGCTTACAAGTCCAAGTTCTTGCGCTGTTTCCGAGCTGAGTAAACAGCCGCCATCGTCTGATGTCACATATATAGTAGCAACTGTGAACTTGTGTTTTGACTCCGCAAGAACACGAAACTTCCTTCCATCTTGACTGGCGTTTTGAGTTAAACGGGTATGCTTTCACGGATGTGGGTTCAAGCTCAGTATTTCGAAATTTCCGGAAAGTCTTCTTGTCGATTATATTTATGCTTGAGCCAGTGTCAATTGTCATTCTGACATATAGTCCGTTGAGCGATATTGACGTTTCAGGACGTTTAGGCTTGTTGTTGTTACAAACCGCATAACAGTATTCCGAATTATTGTCGCTGCTGCTATCTTTCTCCTCATCAGCCTTTACCGGTCGTATGTCTTGGCGTGGTTTAGCGGGTGTTTTGATTTTCTGCAAGTTTCGGCTGCGACATTGGCTTGCAAAATGATTTAACTTCCCGCATTTGGCGCATGTTTTGTTCTTCGCTGGGCACGGTTTGTCTAAATGGGGGGTAGTTACCTCCACAGTAAAAGCATATCTTCTGTGGTTTATCGGCTTGGGAGTTTTTATTTGTAGGTTTTTTTATTGTATGTAAAACGTGGCTGTCCAAATGCTCTTCGATGTCCGCCGCTTGTACTTTACTTGTTTCTTCACGCCTTGCTTCAAGCAACAGATCTTTTAAGGTATATTTAGGATTGCTTGTTTTCGTACACGACTGGATCGTCCACCAATAACAATTTGAACCATTATCTCAAAATCTACATCAGCAAATTCACAGTTTTTAGATAATGAGCGCAGTCTTGTATGAAATTGGTCGATTGTTTCGGACTCTACTTGTTTTGCTTGTCGAAATTTGTAAACTTCATATAACCGATTTTTCTGTGGTTCAAAATACTCCGTAAGAAGTATTTCCGCTTTAGGAAAATCATCATCTTCTCCCGGATCTGGAAATTCTCGAAATATCTCTCGAATTCGGGGTCCTGCTTGATAAAGAAGTAAAGCCCGTTGCCGAGTTCTATTTGTTATATTACTGGCTATTAAAAATGTTTTAAAATCTGCCAACCACGTGCGCCATCTATTTGCAATGTTTCCTCAGATTTCTTCATCCGGATTGAAATGTGGCATGGGAGATAAAAATGTTGCCATGTTTGCGTTGATATTTTATTCCTCGTCGCCAATGTAATGTTTAGAATTTATCTTCTTCCTTTAGTATCTATCTATTGTGCTCTCTAATATCTGTTTTTTAACAACATTTCTCATTCCTATATATATATATGTCATTGTCACTTTTAAGGGGCGTGTCTACAACACTACAGTCAACACTTGGTGAAGTTTGAAAAATATCACCACCTTGAGGTAACCATAAACATTTGATAACCTCAGCTATGTTTACTTTGTTTATGTCTGCACAGAACTTTATATAGAGTTTCCACAAAAAACTTGTCTGTCATTAGAGAGTTTGCATAAGAATAGATAAGACTCGTCATCTTGTCCAAGTATTCTCATCACATTGCAACTTAGAAGTATTTTTCACGATATTAAGAGCTAATAACATTGCGTTTTTTCTTGTGCGTGTGTTACATGATACCAACTTCTATCATGTAATATCATTATTATATCATATTATAATTTCATATATTACTAATTAGGACATAATCTAGAAGCTTGCTTACATGCGTAAATGCTGTCATTATTTTTCTTTAATAACATTCCAACTATTTAACCTTGTAATGAAATAATGAGCTTCATCCTGTAACATGAACGTTACGTCTAAACAAGGGAAGTAAACAGTCATATGCACAAGTATATAAGGCCCAAACTTATTTTCGTTTCATCATTTGTCTGCAAGATTTCTACTAATGATGGCGAAAGTCAACTTTGGAATATTTTTCACTCTCGTATTTTTCTACGCTCCCATTCAAGGGTAAGTATTCGTTTTACGCTTGCTCCCTCATTCTTTAATCAATAGTCAATTATAGTCATTAATAGTCAATCACTCATGCAAGTATTTAATTGTTGTAATGATGTATAGATCTATGATATTACTTTCAAAACTGCACATTTTTAAAAAAAATTAAACATAACTGAAACTGTACTTTTTAAATATTAATAAAATGCGATTTTGATCAGAAATTTCATAAATTTGTTTTATTAAAGGCTGATTCAGATTAAGATAAAGAAGCAAATAGGAAAATACTTATCTTGTTCTTTAAATATTTCCTTATAACTAGGAATCAGGGTTTGTGCTGTAATGAAATCAAAACACAGGTTGAAAGTAAAATGGATGCCTACAAAGTATTGTGTATAAACAATACTTCACTTTCTCTTGAATGTTGTGATGACATCAAAAAGGAAGTTAAATCGTATGAAAGAGCATATGAATCATTATGCACGAACAAAACTTACGGTAAGTAAACAAAAAAAATACTTTTTCTAATCTATAAACAAATTATCCTGATGAAAAGTTTATTTATACGTTAGCTAGCAATTAAATTGATTTTTCTTTGTTTCACGTCATCTTGCACGAAATATTTTAAATTATTAGGATTCCGTCCATTCAACGTAAACTTTACAAATCTTGGAGCAACTGGTCGTCAAGGTCCAACCTCAATTGGTCAACATTATAATGGTCAAGATCATGTAAACATGGTTAGAGTATTAAAAGGTATCCAGTATTGGACAGTGCCTTACACTGGAACTTATGAAATTACGGCAGTCGGTGCACAAGGAGGTTATGATAAATATGGCTCTACTTACAGAGGTAATAAATAAATTGAACTTTAAATTTGTAATAACGAATGGTTATGATCATGATGGTTGAAACAAAAATAATATTCTTGTGCATTGCAAAAATAACTCTCTTTCGACATCCCACATCAACCACTTTTTACCCAAAAATACATAAACTTCCACATTTAACTATAGTTGAGTTCAAAGAAAACTAATTTACTAAATTATATCAACCAAATTCAGTTAGTTGATTAACTTTAACTCACGTTCCTATTTACATGCATGGGAACTTAATGTAAAACTTCTACACAATCCTTGTAAGAAAAATTATTAAGTTTAAATGATAGCAAATAAGAAGAACATTTTTTTGTCACCTAATAATTTGCTGAAAAGTGTCGAGATGTTGCAAAGAGGAAATCTTTAAAACCATTTAATCAAAAATTACAATTATATTTTTATTAGTAGGAAGACTAACCTAGCAACAAAACTCTTAAAATTGATAAATACTTGCTCCATCATAGTGGGTTTCACTTTTATTCTAATGCTAAATTTTATGCTTCACTTTAAACAAACAAAACGAAGGAGCAAAAAATATTCATGTCATACGCATTTTACTTTTATTAACCAACAACATGTTAGAAATACGTGCGCATTCTACAAAGAAAAATTTCACCATATAAGCATATAAAACCAACATTCTTAAAATATATTAGTTTTATATCATGTAAAAATTCCATGTAAATTTTCATAGTTAGAGTTTAAATACTTTAGCATTCTTGTGAATATGACATTTCTAAACGGACAATTTCTTTTTTCTGTCATTGATTTTGAAGACCATGTTCTTTTTAGGTCGTAGGGCTTACATGAGAGGGGACTTTGATTTAAAGAATGGAGAAGTTATCAAAATTCTGGCTGGACAAAAATGCACTTGTTAATACTGTTTACCATTCTTCAGAGGAGGTGGAGGTTCTTTTGTTGCTAGGAACAACAATGCTCCACTACTTGTTGCTGGAGGAGGTGGTGGTTTAGAAAACCTTAACAAACGTTTAGATAACTGTGATGCCAGCAATAAGACATGGGGAAAAAATAATAAATGTGTCAAACCTTGTGGAAACTGAGCTGGAGGAGTAAATGGACAGGGAGCAAAGCAGGCAGATTCAGGAAATTCAGGTATAATATCAGCTTTTACAATATCTGCTTGTATCATTTAATAAAATGCATGGAACGCCATCTGAAGCCAATAATTGAAGGCAAATCTTACATCAGACAAGCGATATTTTACCACAGACACGCGTGTGTAGTTTTTCGATATTTTCTCGCGGAATAATATTTGACTAAACACGTGCGTCTGAGGTAAATTATCGCGTATATTGAGTAAAGTCGTGGCTTTAAAAAATTATTAAGGTTTTGTATTTCAGGAAGCGTTCCATGCATTTTAGTTCAATGGTTTGTATGCTAATTTTTTTATCAATCAATAAAAAATACGAGAAGTGCTTTTATTTTATGAAATCTTGACAATAAACTTCCACTTACTGTAAGATGCATTTTTAAGTGCAACTAAATTGACGGCAAAACAACGTGAAACTTACACTACTACTTTCATGTTTTTGTAGGAGGCGGAGGAGGTGGATTTTACAACAATGGAAGAAGTAGTAAGCAGTTTGGTGGAAAGTATGGAAATGGAGGAGAAGGAGGTTTTGCTTTTATAAATGGAGGAGCAGGAGGACGTGCTAAAACTAACAATGCTGTTGATGGATTTGGAGGTGGTGATGGAGCATATGGTTATGGTGGAGGAGCAGGTGGAGGTGGGGGCTACTTAGGTGGAGCATCTGGTGATAATGTGAATGGATCTTGTGGTGGTGGAGGTGGGTCTTACAATGTAGGAAGAAATCAAGTAAGCAAGCCTGGTTTTAACAACAAGGGAGACGGATATGTCGTTGTCACTCGAAAGTCGTAAAAGAAAGTCGTCTTTATGCTAAATAGTATCAACTCACTTTCTAACTGTCCATAACACTCTATGAAACGTCTTGTTTCGCAAAAATAAAAAAATTTAAAGTGTTTGATTTACATTCAAGATTAAATTGTTATAAGGGAATAATATTATAGGTTAAGCAAATGAAATAGCATATACTTGTTAATCTGTAATGCACTAATAAATAAAGTAAGTATGTTTTTGGATTCGTTGTTTTAAAACAATATAATAAATTCATTATTTATAAAAATGGCAGAATTCGGGGTAAACATAACTAAAACTTTATTGTTTACAAATAAAATTTCTTCGGATTTTGTAAATAATTTTATTGAGCTTTCGACTCGTTGCTTCAAGCCTTCATCAGAATGATAAAATTATCTATTTACACGTGCTTTTAGCTTGTAGACGCTTAGAGCATCTAAATGGATTAGCGGGTGGATTAATGTGATTGGATGGGGTTAAATGCGTTGTCATGGGTTTTGGTTTATTGTGAATGTGTTGGGCACGTCGATATGTCTTTTTATTGTGTAGTTCTCTTTACTGTACAAAGCTTCTTTAAATTCGCGTGGGTGTTTAGTCCGTGCGCGTCCGAGCCATTGAGCTCTATAAGACCTGGAGGGGAAAAGGGGCCTGGACCCCGTGTCAAAAACATGGCGGTAATGGCGGATTTTAGTGGTCAAAACTTCCACTTAAAAAATGTTTTTCAATATTCACTCCCTCCTGATTTCCAATACTGTTTATATGAACGATAACAAGTGAAAGAAAACATTTACGATACCGACAGCATATCATGTGAAAATAATGCTTCAGCATTGCGTGAAAACACAGTACACACACATCAAAATAAAGAAAATTGACGGTAGAGAAACGCATATTTTGGCTGTAACATTTAAGTTGTTTTATGACATTTTAACCTTTTAAAAGTGAAAATCAAACGGCATTCTTTAGTAGACATGCTAATCTCGTCAAACGTATACATTATTTCATGCTTCTGTGTGTTTGACTGTTTGTAAACAGTTTGGTGCAACTATTTTTCTTGCTCAAATGGATAAACTGTGTTAAAATGCTCCTAAGGAAGCGATAAAATGTTTGCTTCAGTCCTACGACATAAGTGAACTGAAAATTTACCATTGATAAGTATCATAAGTGTATTGTCATTACCTGATAAATCTACTGAAAACTCATAAAGAAAGTATGTTGAACTAGAAGAGCTACAAAAAAGAAAAAAATTCAAAACACCATGACACTGTTGCTTGGTAATTTGTATTTTGTAAACAGGTTGGCAGAATCTTGGATCTATTACTAAACAGAACTACATTAATTTTCCATTGAAATTACAAACTTGGAAACTAAAGTGCGTGGGTTTCTCTGATAAAAACACTGTCTATTGCTGCATGAAGGCAAAATAGTTATTTGACAGTGTAGGTGAAGAAATTTATCAAGTTCTATAGATATTATTGTGCATTACTTACAGTTTTTTGGAATTGTGTAATATATGTCATGAACAAGATATAATTTTTCAAAAATGCTAACCCCTTCAAGCACTACTACTCTTCTGTTTTGCTTAAGAACAACGTACAGCTACCAATACTAATTATTTATATGTACAAACTAACATTTAGGAATTAAATGATAAACAACTTGTTAAATCTTTGTATTTTACATCAATCATTTGAATTAGTTCCTTTTATCTCTTGGTAAAAAAATATGAATGAAAGACTTACAAATCAAGTTTCTCGAAAATAGTATTTTGTACAAAGAAACTAAATAATTGGAAAGGTCACATGTTGAAGACAGACTTTGCTCCTTTGACTAGGTTGACCATGAGCAAATTTAAATTTGTTTAGAATTTGTTTAAAGAATTCTTTTTATTGATTTCTACTAATTCTTCATAAGACACAAAGAATTTCTTTGCCATCTATTTTTGCTTCTTCTACATACAACTTCATTGTAACCAATGCATCCGATGTGAATTTGTGGATCACCTGAAATCATACCAAATATGGATTTGATGAGATGAGACAATAATATGTTTAATTTTTCATGCATATTAATGATATAATCACAAGCCACTGTTGAACAAAAATTTCAAGGTAGAAACAAATCTTAGCACATTGTTCAACACACTACTTTTATCTTGGTTTTGAAGTAGTAACCTGTTTACTATAACAATAATTACTTCATTTACAGAAACGCTAAGTAGTACTTTAAAACTGTTTGCATACATCCAACTTTCCAATCCCATTATAATTGTCTACACTATACAGTCAGTCATAGTGAGCAGGCAAACAGTTTAATAGTTATTTTTGTTATACAACATATACCATAGTTCTCATTAATATTGCATGGCACTGCATTCAATTTTAACACAACTCTGTTGTAAACTTTCTCTTCATCTTTTAAAAAAACACATGAGCAAATTATGCCCCATTTTTGGGAGGTAAACTCAATTCAAATCAGGAGAGTTTAGCTTGATGCCTTGATCATGATACAAGATGGATGCAAAACTCGATAAAAATTGACAGCTTCGCCACGTCTGGTGAGCGGTTAAGTGAAGAACAAACAAGACTGGACCAAAATAACTTTAAATTAAAACTTAGTAGTAGAAACACTCTTCAAGTATCGTGTTAAAAACAAAACAGTAAAACTAATACTGTGCTACTTACCGGAATCAAGAAATGTTCCCTTTTCTGTCGCTATTTCAGCATGCGCAAACCACAGAAGTTGGCAGTTTAATAAATAAAATTTTAAAAAAGTGTTTATGTTAGGAAAATAAATAGTTTTGATATTTTCTATACTCGCAATCGTGGTGGTCAAATCAGGGTGGGCGACAAAAATTTTATTTCATGAGCCCGCGTCTCTCCGCTAACTTTGACCACCAAAATCCGTCATGTTTTTGACCACGCGGCCGCGTGCTAATAATTTATAGTAATTTTGTTGACGTTTCCCCTCCAGGTCTTATAGAACTCAATGGTCCGAGCACCTTATTTTCTGTCTAGTCGAATGTGTGGTTGTTTCCGTGGGTCTATTCTGCCGGTAGTGAGTTCCATAAAACGACGAGATCCGAAATGAACCTTATATGAACAATACTTGAATAGTTTGCCTGATATTTAGGCTCATTATCATGCCAAATACAAGGCTCATTAGCATGCATAGGAACATAAAATTTACTTTACAATAATGCTATTCTAAAAAAGATATAGTCTTTAAAAATTTCTACCAAGTTATCAGGCATAGACCCCCCAGGCCCGTATTCACACCTCTATATAACGAGTTAAATTAGAAATGAGATAATACAAGGGACATTTCATAGATGTAGAAAAGTTGAGACTTCAAACCATGCAAGTTTATTCTTACCCTTTACCCTTCTCTAAATACAGTGCCAGGAAATTTACCTTTGGAAAAAGTACTCAAAATATTTTTCTGCCAAAGGTTAGACAAAGATTATCAGATTGAAAATTTGCAAATAAGGACAGCTTAATGTTATTGATGTTTATTAGGCTTTTCACTAGACTATTTTCTTCTGTAATTTAGGCAAGGTGTGCTATATAGCAATTACCAGTAGCATTGTATGCACAAATGCAAACAGAATGTAATGGTGTAACTAACATGCCTTTAATCATATAATAACATGAATGTTGGTTGATGTGTCATGCTTACTGGTCATGATAAATATCTTTTCATATAATGAAAACTAGTTTAAATGTAAATCTGAAATAATTTTTAGAAATTATAATAAATGATCATCAGAAAATTTACCTAGTGATCATGAAAAATACTTTACTGTTTTGCCAAATTTTAAGATTTATCTGCATACCTATGAACACATTTTTACTATATAGAAAATACTTTTCATACATCAATAGCCCTTAAGTATTTCTGGTAAACAATATGGTATGAGCCGTAGATCAACACATCTTGACATCTCTACATGAGGTGTTCAGTTGGAAAAGGAGACAATATGTGACATGGGACAACATTTCATGTATTGAAATACACCGGTTTAATACCATTCCAGTCAAATTGTCAAAATAAAAAGCTTCATTGATCAAAAAGGTTATATATCACAGGTTATAGTAAACAGCTTCTCCTGTAATCAATATTAGTTTTCTCAATTCTTAAACAATGTGTAGTATAACTGTCCAATAATTGAATGATCCATATGAGTTTTCATATATAAAACAGAATTTTGACGATGAAATCCAAACGATTACAGAACGGGAAATTTTCACGTTTAATGATCACAAAAATTGTAATCATTAAATTTGATAAATAATTTTTGAACGATATAAACATCAGTCCCGTGACTGATTTGACATACACTGGATCTGCCCCTGGCTCGTGTTGTATTTCCTCATGTACACAATTAAAAACTCAATTACCCCTGAAAAAATCATAAAGATAATGAGCGGAAAACTATTTGGCTAATGCATCAACTGCAAAGAAATCCCAGATCATCTCTCGTTAAATTGAAGTTATTACGTACTCTAACTACCATTGAATATAGAAAAGTAATGCCTGAGTACACCATTAACAGAGACTTTATCAAATTCTGAAAGAACATACCTCAGTCAACATAATTATTGCTGTACTTATATATTATGTACAATTTTCAACCTTAGTAAACAGTGTCCTAAGAGATACTATAAAATTTCAAAACCAAAACCTTTAGCAAGATAACTGTGTGATATCAGAACTTTACTTCCCTTCCCCCCCTCCCCTTCTGTAAGCCGCTCCAAATATCATAGTCTTGAGCACACTTTTATGCCAAAACATCATGGCATTAAACCTTAACATTTGTTTCTTTATAGTTTGACTTCGTCTTACTTGTTTCATGGTAGCAATAAGGGGCTTACACAGTTTGAAAAGATCGACAATCAACTCCAACAAAAACCTGTTTTTCATTTTTGTCTTTTTAATTGAAAGAGTCACAATGCCTGCAAAATGTTAATTTATTGTTCACAAACATGCCATTTGACAAATTA